ATCATCTATGTCTTAGACAACAAAGTGAGCATCACAATTATGTCAAGGTTGTTGTTTTAATGCTTATGTTAACGTTTCCTGTTGTAAGATAAGAAAACTTACCAGTACAGTTTGTCTCAATTTCTTGATATCCCTCCTTACGCCTGCAGATATACGATCCGATGGTGTTATTGCATGTCGTATTGCCTTCGCAGCTGTGTTTTTTGGTGATACACTCATCTATATCTAAATGAAAATCAGACAAAATAATAATAATGATAATGACGACGATAAAAAATAAAAGAGAAAGCGGAGATTGGAGAACTTAATGCTTTTCATCGTCTCGGTTATAAATTTATCGAATGATGGTATCATCTCTGACCTTGGCGTAGAATTTGTATCCAGTTTTACTGACATCCGCTTCAGCAGTTGTTCATTGTAAAAAATGGTAAAAGAAAAAACAAATTTATCATCTTACTGATTGGAAACAAATTGCAGAGGATTGCTCACCTTCACCACAATCATGGCCTTCAAATCCAGATCCAAGAACACATAAACACTGATAATCTCTGTCTGTAAACCCAGCTTGGCATGTTGCATTATTCTTGCAAGGATTTCTGGCACAAGCATTCTTACGAACAAAACGAATAGGAGCACTTTAATTTTTGTGTTTACCTTCTGCGCATGCGTTCGTGTTTGCGAGTTCTGAATGTTATGCAGGTTTGTCAAATCTATAGGTCCTCTGTAATGGTCCTCGTGTGTGCTCTCATTTATATGCCCATATGTTCCACGCAAGCTGGCTTATTTTTCAAGCAAATGTCTGCGTTGAACATAGGTTCTCTTTATACACGTGGCACTGTTCAGAGCGAGAAAAAAAATGTGTCTAAATCCTCAAAATGTATCACAACAACTCCGGAGGTGGGGATATTAAATTAATAATAATAAAAAATAATATGCTTCTCCCAATTCTCTATTTCAAAGTTTAAACGTGTAAGTATCATAACCTTTCTTTTGGTTGTTGGAAGGAGAATTAAGAGGAGGGGGATAGGCTAGGGAATCCTTGGTCTTGTTAAGAAGCTTCGACGAGACAAAGAATTTCATTCTCTTGGCTAATAAGCGTCATCCTCACCTCAGCACCGCGGTAAATATAACTTTCGTTTTTCACCAGATCTTTATCGTGTTCAATAGTAGCGTTATTCAGATCACACTTGTGTGTTCCAGACAGCTGTGTTATCGTATGGAAGTTATAACTGACGCAGTTAGGTTCCAGGTAGCATTGCGCCATGCAGAGATCCTCGTCGAATACTTCAATAGTTCGAACCGTGTGATTCTCCAACCTGTAGCCAGGTTTAGGAAAACTGGTAAACTTCAAATTACGGCAGTTACCTGGTGAAATATTACGTTAAGTTAGAAAGTGGCTATGTAGTATTAAGCACATCTTTTGAAACTCGAAATCGAGAGCAGTGTTAGTGCTCAATTATTGCTTTGTTTTCCTTTTGTGTTTTTGCCACGAGAATAACACCAGTCGAGTGATTCTAATTTATACTCTGAGTAATCACTTCTATTTTCATCTTCCTTCAGAAGCGTTCAGCTATCGTGATCAATTGTTGCCAAAATCAATAAACAACTTTTTTGATATCTAGAGTGACTCGTGTTTATCAAGTGTTATATTGATCGTTTTCATTGTTACACATCGAGAGAGAGAAATTCAGTGGATAAGGTTCAGAAATTGCAGTGTTATAGGAGAAAGGTTAAGGAAGCACTTCTCCAAGTTTTAGGTCTCTTTGTTTTCCCAAACTTAAGATGTTCGTCGAAATGTTTGGCGCAAAGTTACAGAGTCAAGTATGGAGCCGCCATGCTGGTGATTATCTTTGGTCCGCCAACATGGCGGCCGGGAATAGTGGAGGACTTCTGGAACTTACTTTGGCTATCTAGCCCACTGATTATCTAAACTAAACCAAAAAACGTACGAAAACACTTTTCCTAACAATTAATATGAAAAAAGGTTGAAAATCACCAGATAGGTCTATAAACGCAATCGGAGCTTTATGTCACGCAACCACCATAACTCTGAACTTCAAACTGCTTTGGTTTCCAAACCAAGCACGCTTTTGTGTTAAAAATTTGAAAACAGATACAAATTTAGACCCCCATATGCCTGATGAGGATAAAAATTTTCGTTGCCCTGTATTTTTGGATTTTCGAATTTGATGATGTCACGTGAAAATCAGCAATGAAGTTCGGAAATAACACGCGCTGTCATTGGTTGAAAGGGCGTGTTCTACCAGAGTATAGAGCACGGAGCTGAGCCAAAGCTGTCACGTCATCTGCCAATTTGTACTTTGTCTACCCTTTTTTCGTTTCTTGGAAGTGAAATTTCGGAATAAGCGAGCCGGCAAGTAGCAACAGAAGAACCAAATAAGGGTTTGTAAACATGCCAAGCTCTGTAATTTGCACTATTATAACGTGTGAGGAGACGAAAATCCTAGCAAAGAAAACAAAATGGACAATCCGAGTTTTG